ATTTTCGTAATTATACGTGAAAAAAAAGATTATTGTATGTACGAGATTCTATGTCTTAGATCATGTCTATTTAATGCCTTTGATTATTCCCTTATCAAGTTAGATTGCCGTATTTAAAATGAATTTACCGCCTGATAAATATGTTGACGAAACAATATGGAATAATTTATAAGTACTGACCTCGTCTTTAGATAATATTATGTTACGATTTAATATGTAATTCAATTGCATTGTAAAAATTGTTCTCTTTAATTTTTCTTCTTCTTCTTCTTTTTTTTTCTTTTTTTTTTTTTTTTTTTTTTTTCTTTTTCTCTTTCCTTTTTCTTTCTTACAAATCTAGTACAAAACATCGACAATAATGTGTAAATCGTTTATAACATTGTATTTGTGAAGGCGTGTGTGCGTGCACGAAGATGATATAATCCCAGAAGAATTATCGAGCATCACGTTTTAAGTATATAAAGGAAGGAACTAATGAACAGTTATAACGTATAAAGGCTGTTGCACAACTGGAAAACTTTAGTCAATTATAAAAGAGGATAATTTACACGGCTTAACAAAGACAGATATAATCCTATCGTATTCTGATTTTACGCTCGCAATTATATTCATTCATTTCCAACCAAATTCTGTTTGAATAATTTTATTATCGATAACGAGTGCATAACAGAATAATATCTTGAAATAATGCGTCACCTTATTTGTTTCAATGCCTATCACTACCAATGATATATTGACAATGATTTCTTCCGTGTATATCAGGATAATGATGAAATCTAATAAAAATGCATTTATTGCATTCGCATTTATCTTTCTTCTAATCTTTCTTATTTCTAAAAAAAAAATTTATATATATATATATATATATATATATATATATGTATACACATGTGCGCGCACGCAAGCACGTGCAATGAATATATATACGTATATACGTGTATATATATTATATATAATATGTATGTACGTGTACCTTTTGGCCGTTACAACAGGTGAATCTAATTTGAAAAAATTTACGAGAATTCGAATCAAGGTGCATGAATACGAAATGATCAAATCATATTAATCATAGAACCGTAAAAAAAGGTAAAAAAGAAAATTAATGTACAAAATAGAAAAAGTAATATTACTTAAGATCGAGTATATACTTTCTATTTCCATTCGAATACTTACTATTGGTAGAAAGATTCGTGATTGGTTTTTAAAAATTTCGTCGATCGTTATACCGCGCTAACAAAACTTTGAAAGTTCAAACTCTGATGCCATCTGTTGGACGACGTTAGAATTACTCTCACAGCGAAAGATCGTCGCGCCGTTTTCACGAAGGACCAATCACAGAACAGATAGAGAGTGCGGGCGCGTTCGCACGTGATGTTCGGTTCGTGTCGTTGAATTTCGAATAGTAAAGAATAATGGTGTAGAGAATATATATATACACACACATGGATATACAAAAATACGTATACGCGTTTGTTTCGTATGGTGTGATCATCGTACGGAAGATTATAATCGTAAGCTAACGTCGACACGATAATTTAACCGTTTTGTCGTTGACTTTGGAGGTTCGAAAACGATCGTCGTCATCATCATCGTCGTCGTCGTCGTCGTAGTCGTCGTAGTCGTAGTCGTCGTAGTCATAGTCGAAATCGAAGTCGAAGTCGAAGTCGAAGTCACCATTTCTAACTTTTTATTCTTCGTTTATGAAGGTTTAAAGCTCAGGAACGAGAAACGATCGGCATTTTTTTTTCTCTTTTACAATATATTTACGGACGACGGGAGTCGTGGCCAGTAACACCTGATGGCGTTTTCCTGAAGGATAGACGAAGAGAAAATAGAGAGAAAGAAAGAGATAGGAGAAAGAAAGATATATATATATATCATACATATATATATATATATGTATGTACATACATACATACATACTCGGCTGCATAGGTAAAAAGCAGAGCGAGAGAGTGAATGAGAGAGACAGAAAGAGAGATAGAGAGAAAGAGAGAGAGAAAGTGCGAGCGAGAAAGAGGAAGAGTGGTAGAGTGAGGAGTGGTGTGAGTGAGGTGGGGTGAAGGGCCGGGGGGGGGGGTAGGAGCGCTAGTAAAGATGGAGCGACGATCGGAATGGGATATCGGGAGGGGGAAGGAGAGAGAAAGACAGCTTCTCGTCAAATGCGCGGGCTTTTTTCCGGGTGTGGTATGTGCGTGTAGTAAACACCCCTTAGTCGGTACGGCATAGACGAAAAAGAGAGAAAGAAAAAGAAAGAAAGAGAGAGAGAGAGAGAGAGAGAAAGAAAGAAAGACAGAGAAAGAAAGAGAGAGAGAGAGAAAGAGAGGGACGGAAAATGCGAGTTAACGAAAAAGAAGGACGAACGTATATACGAAAAAGAGACAAATCAACGAGTTTGACGAGCGAAGGAGAGTGTAAGAGAACGAAAGAGAGAGAGAAAGAGAGAATGAGCGAGCGAGTGAGTGAGTGAGTGAGTGAGTGAGTGAGTGAGTGAGTGAGTGAGTGAGTGAGTGGTGAGTGAGTGAGTGAGTGAGTGAGTGAGTGAGAGTTACATACACAGTGGTGGGGTATAGAGAGACAATGTGTGCGTGAGAGAGAGAGAGAGAGAGAGAGAGAGAGAGAGAAAGAGAGAGCGAGCGAGCGAGCGAACGAACAAACTCGGAGAGAGGGAGCACAGAGAGAAACGGTTTTGTCGAGAGGAAAGGAGGCGGCAAGCATTGCCAGTGGAACGGACTGAGAACGAAAGCAGCAGCAGGAGAGCGAAGAGAGAAGGAAAGGATCTCCGTCAAAATGTCGCTGAAAACGCCAACGCGGATACAGTGATAGGGCTTTCATCGTATATCACTGCGGTATGCAGCTTTTTCTTGGATTCACTGAAATACTTTCATCGAGTTGCGTTCATCGAACGATCGATTATCGTTGGATTTGCTCGTGATTATATACGAATCTCTTCTACTTTTTCTTCTTCTTCTTCTACTTCTACTTCTACTTCGTCGAGAAACAGAAAGAGAGAGAGAGAGAGAGAACGAGAGCAAGAAAGAGCGAGAGAGAGAGAGAGAGAATTCAACATGCGAACGAGAGAGTGAAAAAGCAAAAAAAGAACGAGAGAGCAAGAGAGAGAAAGAGAGAGAGAGAGAGAGAGAGAGAGAGAGAGAGAGAGAGAGAGAGAGAGAGAGAGAGAGAGAGAGTCGATGTAGATGCAAAAGATAGTCATGGGAGCATCGATTGCGCACGATCACCCGGTTTCCCTCTATTTGTTTCCCTCGGGCTCCGCGTTGTTTCGTCGTGGCTGCTACTGCGTGTAACGACATCGCACCACGATCAACCTCTTTCTACATTCTTTCTCTTGTCGTCGACGACGACAGCTATATAACTATTACTACTACTACACTACTACTACTACTACTACTATTACTACTACTACTACTACTACTACTACAACTACATTATTACTACTGCACTGTTACTACTACTCAACTATTACGACAACACGGACAACAACGGACAACGATAACGACAACGACGACGACGACGACGACGACAACAACAACGACCGTCATCATCGAGAGAAAGAGAAAGAAAGAGAGAGAGAGAGAGAAAGAAAGAGAGAGAGAGAGAGAGAGAGAGAGAGACACGATCCATATTCGCGAATACGATTTTTCAACCGGCACATCCTCTATCGTCATTCTTCTTCTTCTTATCGTGGTTTTTCTTTTTTTTTTCTTTTTTTTTTTTCATTTTTTTCCCCCTTTTTCTCTCTCTCTCCCCCCCCCCTATCCCCTCCCCTTTTCTCCTGTTGATCGTTGTAAAAATCTCGCGCGCGAAGAAAATACTTTCATAGCCAGAGCACGACGACGTCGTCGAGAGTGTTCGGCTGACGAAGCCGATACTCCCAGGTATCATCTATCTTTTAACACATCCATGGTTAAGTCCTAAACATTTCCTCTCTTCCCTTTCCCTCCGCCCCCTGCATAGTTCCGACCCGTCACGTCCCTTCTCCTTTTTAATAAGAATACATTTATTTATTTATATGTTCGTTTATGATTAACGCGAATGAGAAGGATTCTTACTTTTTATTTGTATTTATTTGCCATGTTTTTTTCTTTTTTTCTTTTTTTTTTTTTTTTTTTTTGTCTCTTTTCTCTTTTCTCTTTTCTCTTCTCTTCTCTTCTCGAGTGTTGACCGATCGAGCGTTTAAACTTTTCTCACTATCTTATTTTCTTCGTTACTTCCTTGTTACGTTGCTCTCTGCTTCCTTCTTTAATATCGTTCGTTTCTTTTTTCTGAATAAGATGGACTTGCCGAAAATGTGTATCATCTTTATGCCAATGATAACTGAGATCCTAACAAATCGATCCTACTACCGACCCTTTGTTCGAAAACCTCCTTTCGTATTACCTTTATTGCATAGAGTATTAATCCTTAAACTCTCAAGACAGTGTCGCTTTCCTCGAGGGAGAAAGAGGAGAAAGAGGAGGAGGTGGAGGAGGAGGAGGAGGGGACGTCAGTTTGTTACAGGACATTTTTGATTATCGTAAATTGTTCCTTGTTGTAATACGATATTGCTCTTTCGTCATCTACGTGCCTCTAAAAAGGATTCCACTCGTCGATGCTCGTGTCGTTTATCATTTCCTTTCGTAGTGCTTCTTCTTCTTGTTTTTTCTTTTTTCTTCTTTTTTTTTTTTTTTTTCACGGTCGTGATGAATTTATAGAACGGAAAAAAGAGGATTTATTTTTCCGCGCGCTCATCTGACTTTCATTTCAATTAGTATTATCGGTAATTGTAATTGCTTCTTTTCTTTTCTTTTTTTATTTTTCTGTTTCTTTTTCTTTTTTTTTTTTGTTCTCTTTCTTTTTTTGTTCTTCCACGATTCTTCTCCTTGTAACACGTTTAAAAATATCTACTGTCTGTGTGTATATGTGTGTGTGTGTGTGTGTCTGTGTGTGTGTGTTTTAATTATTCAGATTGCAAAAGTATATATGTGACATGTATGTTGACATTCAGTCATTGATTTGATTTGATTTAATTTGATTTGTTAAAAGAACTATGATTAGGTTGTACATTTAAAGATATGATTTTACTTATATATCATTATTAACTTCCATTTCTATGGGTTTCAGATTTGTCGTAGTGTTAATTGTATATGAAGAAAATGGTGTCGACACGTCAATCAAGTAGCATAGGTGCAAATAATGGAGGTGGTAGTGTTAACGACATCAGAGAAGTTAGTCCATCGAGGAAACATCAGGCATCATCCTCTGCTGGATCTTCCAGTACATCTTCTTCAGTTTCACCTCCTTCGATGTGCAACTTAAGCCTTTTTGATTTGCCGGTTGAAATCATTGAGAAGATCTTTAGTTATTTGAATTATAATACTGTAGCACATTTACGTCCAGTAAGTATTATTATTATTATTATTATCCATAGAAATTCTATTTGATAGAATTAAATTACTAATTTTACTTTGGCTCGTAAAGATTATTCATTTGATTTTTATATTATAGGTTTCTCATCAAATGGATCGTGTCTGTGGAAACATTTTAAATTCGGCATTTCAAAAACTACAAGCACAAATGTTAAGTCGCTTTCAAGCGATCAAATCTCAAATGCCCAGACGTGAATCCGCACGTCGTAATCATCCATTAGCATGTGAATCAGATATTATAGAAACTCTACATATGCGACTTACTTTATTACAAATGTGTTTTGGTAAACACATAGAAAGAAAACATTGTTGCTTTTTTCCTGGAGAGGTAAATCGAATAAAATTTTTATTCCTTCAAATATAAGAGATACCTATTGCATTAATATTTTAATTACAATGTTTACAGATATTGGATGAAGTTTTTCGTATATTACATTATATAAAGGTTACTCCAAAATTAGCACGACCTTATAAAGTCACAGATGAATTGTTTGATTTGAGTACTATGGCTATGGAATATTTTAAAGAACGAATCGAGCCAATGTTACCAGAAATTCCTTATTTTGGAGCTGATTTTCTGGATTTAGCAGGGACATTCCCTTGTGAGTAAATAATTATATTTATTAAGATATTAATTTAGATATATTGGATTTAATTAATTCAATGATAAAATACAATGGATGTATTGTGAATTCGCAGCAGCTAGTAATGTTAGTAAACCATTTATGTGCCTGGATTCTGCGCCCTTAAGTGTTGGAAGCAGTAAAGCGGGGAGTGGTAGCGGGGAGGAAGGTTCTCCTCCACATTCCTCCGAAGATCCTGCTCTCTTAGAAACGAATGTTTCACCTCCACAATCAAATATGGTATTACGGAAACGGATTCGTAAAATAAAACAAGGAATGAAGAGATACAACAGTCAGTTGACGTTAATGCGTAGGGATTTAAGGAGTTGTAAGGCGAAAATAGCCGAACAACAGAAACAAATTGTAGAGTATGCTACGCGTCTCGACGACAATGACAAAAAGAATGAAGAGACATCTCGCAAGTTTAGCACACTACTACAGGTATTTACCCAGGTATACTTACTATACGTGAGAGAGTGAGAGAGAGAGAGAGAGAGAGAGAGAGAGAGAGGAGAGAAAGAGAAATAGATATGTATAAATTGTAATATTCGAAGAATTAATTCTCGTCGATTTTGATAAAACAAGTAGATAGATTTAAATTAGAATTATATCAAGATTTGATTATAATTTTGATTGAAATTTTATAGGAATTAAATAAATGCAAGACAGAACTACAATATTGGCGGTCTAAATCCCCAGCGATACCTGTTTGCGTTGGTTGTGGTCAATCTATGCCCGTACCTACGGAAGATCTACAAGCTTTAGTCAATCAAGGAGTAATGCCAGAGGTATTTGGAGAAGGATTGGATTTTATCCCTATAGCGGATGCACATAGTCCTACGGAAGTTGTTCAACAAGCAACCGTTACGCAATCTCCATCGCCAGGAGCACCTTCGGAACCTGCTGAGATGGCACCACCTAAAGCACCTATACCAACGGATTCCTTAAAACGGAAATCTAGCGTGGACGAAACACCGAGCGACTCTACGAAAAAACCACGTCGTACTGCCAAGTCTCGTCAGGCTAAACGCTCAAAGCTGTAAATTGATTCTGATCATGGTACAAATATCTATCTATTCTTATATCTCTGATCGGTTTTTCCAAGAGAAGGTATTTCATTCTTATTTTTCTTTATTCTTTGCATTAAGAAAAATCACGCCAATGTCACGTTCTGTTACGAAGAGACAACATACAGGCAGGTGATGGATGATCTTAGAAAAGTACAAAATTCTTTCCCGATCGTCCTACGACGCGCTTCGCATGCAACGAACCCCCCCCCCCTCATTTTGGAAATTAATATATGATTGAATTATTTGTTCTTTTTTTTTTTATTATTATTTTTTTCTCTTTTTTTTTTTTTTTTTTTTCTTTTTCCTTTTCGTTTGCCTTTTTTTTTCTCCCCTTCATTCCACGGACGCACGACGGTGATCGATGCAGTTAGCTTAAAGTTT